CTTCTTCTTCTTCTTCTTCTTCTTCTTCTTCTTCTTCTTCTTCTTCTCCTCCTCCTCCTCCTCCTCCTCCTCCTCCTCCTCCTCCTCCTCCTCCTCCTCTTTCTTCTTCTTCTTCAATTTATTTAGAGACAGGTCTTTTTATATAGCCCAGGCTGACCTTGAACTTGAGGCCCTCCTGCCTCAACCTCCTGAATGTGGGGGTGAGAGATATGGGCCACCACTCCGGGACCTTTTCTTATTTCTAGCTTGTTGTTGTAAGAAGGGTGGTTTGCTTAAATCACTCCATTTCTCCCACGCGCCTTTAAAAACAACCTGTGACAGAAAAGTGTGAGATAAGCTGATCCCGGTGGCTCACACCCTGTTGTTCCAACACTGGGAGGCGAGGCAGGAGGATTTTTACGTGTTGGAAGCCAGCCTGAGCGTGAGACTCTATTTCAGCAGTACCCCACTTCTCTCCACCCCTCCCGCCAAGAGAAAACTAAGGAAAAGCAGATGCTGGAAACTACCAGATAGACACAAGTCGAGAGAAGCCAGGAGCATGTCAAACCATCCTTTCATGCGTGTCCTGTGTATGTGTGTGTGTGCACATACACACAAAGGAGAACATTTTCATGGGAAGCTTAGTTACAACACCTCCCTCTCTCCTCTGCCTCTCCCCGTGGTACCATCTGTCCCTCAAGACTCTTATCCACGGAAAGACGTGATCTTATTTGGAGTTAAGTCACCACGGTGTAGCCAGTCAGGACGGGATTGTACTGAATCCAGTGAGCTGTACCCAGTAGGGTTGACATCTGAGAAGAAGGAATTTGGCACATAGGCACAGAGATGAAGGCCATCTGACATCGGCAGAGATGAAATGGTGGAGCCACCAGCCCACAGCCACAATACCCAGTCTCCTGGAGCCCCGGGACAGAAATAGACCCTCCCTGAGCCTGTGCAATGTGGTCTCTGTTTCTGGCACCCAGGACTATGAGGAAATAAATTCCTGCAGTTGTAAGTTGTGCAGTTAGTCCCTGCTATGTCAGTTTCTCATGCGGTGTCTGACTTCTGATTGGTTTAAGAGACACTTGTGTTTAGAGAAGCACATTGTCTTTCTTACACAAGGCTAATTCCTTTCTTGGTCACCCCTCTCTTTCATCTCTTTTCCTTGGAGACTGAAAAACTCTACACACTGACGCTTTTCTTGTCTGTTTTTTTTCTTTCAAAGCTTCAAGCTTTAGCTTTGAAATGTTTACTGGAGGCTGAAAAGATAGGTCAACATGCTAAACAAGAGGACCTGAGTTTGATACTTAGAACATAGATTAAAAAGTCAGATATTGAGCAGAGGCAGGCAGATCTCTGTGAGTTCGAGGTCAGCCTGGTTTACAAAGCCAGTTCCAGGACAGAGAAACCCTGCCTCAAAAAACAAAACAAAACAAAACAGAACAAAGCAAAACAAAAGAACAAAACAACCAAAAAAGTCAGGTATAGAGCTAGAGCGATGGCTCAGCAGTTAAGAATGCACGTTACTCTTCCAGAGGACCCAGATTTGATTCCCAGTGCCTACATGCTGACGTATAAGAGCTTGTAACTCTAGTCCCAAACGATCTATGGTCTCTTCTGGCTTACAAGGGCACCAGGCACCCAGGTGCAATATGCATATATATTGCCAGACAGAAATGCATGCAAAACACCCATGCATATAATATTAAAATCTTTTAATTTAAAAAAGAAAAAAGTCAGACATGGTGGCACACACTTATAACCTTGCCACTGGGGAAGCAGAAATAGGAAGATCCCTGGGGCCTGCTGGACAGCCAGCCTAGCCTACTTCATAAGCTCCTGGCCAATAAGAGACCATGTCTCAAAAAGGGAAAGTGGTCAGTGCCTGAGGAACAACACTTTCCAAAAGTGTGTACATATGCACCCCCCCACACACACACACATGCATCCACACAATCTTCCTGAAGTCATGTTGAAAACTGTGACTCAGAGTCCGCTACGGGCAGCATGTCAGGGGACACTGGCTAAGTAGGGCTGACAGTCCACTACACCAGGAGCCCTGATGCTCAAGCCCTTGTGGCCCTAACTTGGGCATCTGCCTTCTTACTTTGCAGGTTTCAGCAAGCAGCTTCGACACCCAACTCTGCAGCTGGCTAAACAATCTCCTTGGTTTTTATCTTCCTCTAGATCTCCAGGCAGACTTAACTCTGCACCTTATTTCTGTAGAATCGGGAGTTAGGCAGAACCTAGTTTGCATGCTACACGTGTGCATCTTTGTGCTTTTTCTTTTCCCATCCCTGCCCATGATCAAGAGAGTACCGTAACCAGTTTTCCAGTATTCTGGGTTGCTGGGAACTTGAATGGGTGGAAACTAGAAAGGTGTGGCAACTCTCTCGAGGGGGCTTTCCACCGCTGGCAAGATCTACCTAATACTTTCCCTGAGACAGCGCTGTGAAACACTTTCTCCAGAGTTCCTGCCAGAACGAAAACCCCTAAGTGACTTTGCTGAGTGTGCTGTGGGTTTGCTGAGTCCTTGGGCCTCCCTTCTGTTCACAGAACTGCAGCTGATTAAGAATGGGCCTTGTCTGGGGTGCTGTCCAACCCCAAAACTGGGCTGTGTATGGGGCTGCGTATTGGGATTATGTCTTTACATACTTCTGGTCTACCTTCTGCCTGCTATGCCCGGAACTGGGTTGGGGAGCTGGGGTGCATCCCTGTCTCCGAAAGATCACCTTCAGGCAGTGAAGAGCCTGTGGCCCAGGAGGCAAAAGTCTACTGAGACAGCCAAGAGCAAAGATTAATCTCATATTAACCTCAGTCTGTCTGGATCATGTTTCCCACCTGTCTCCTCTTCAGTAGACAAAACCTCAAGGCTAGAGTTGGCGGTGGAGCAGGGGACAACCCTAGGTGGGACAGAGGACAGCCCTGGGTGGAGCAGGGGACAACCCTAGGTGGGACAGAGGACAGCCCTGGGTGGAGCAGGGGACAGTCCTGCGTCCCCTTGGCTTTGCTGTCCCATGACGTGTAGAGTACATCACTCAGGATCAGTACCGCTCTGTGTTCCACCCTGGGGTCTTTGCAAGGATGGCCGAGGCCACTGTCTTGTCATAGGGGTCTGTCCTGTGGTGGCCTGGGTTACTTTGGATCCCTTCTGGAGGCCACTGAAGAACCCTGGTTCAGAGACAACACCTTTGCCCTTGGCTGTCAGTAGACTTTTACCTCCTGGGCCACAAGCTCTTTGCTGCCTGAAGATGTCCTTTCAGAGATAGGGATGCACCCCAGCTCCCATACCCAGTTCCAGGCATAGCAGGCAGAGGGTAGACCAGGCTCTCTCTTGCCTCTAAGTATGTAAAGACATAATCCCAAGGGCCAGCCATTGACTGAAGACTCCAGCCCCACAGATCCCGTTCTAATCCCTTGGGAGAAGTGAAAGCCCAGCAGGGCTAGTATCACAGACCCAGGCGAGCACCTACCTCTACCACACAAGGCCAGAAGCTGGCAGTCAGCTGGCCTTCTTCGGTCCAGCTCAGTGAGAAGTACGGTGGGCCCTGGCTCGTTTACTGCCTGAAGGGCGACAGCCAGTACTTCTTTCATGTTAGCGGCTTGTTGTGTGTGTCCACTCAGTGCGAAGCCCCATGAAGTTTATACTCATTGTGGCTAGGAAGGGTCTATGCTTTATGTGGCTAGGAAGGGTAGCTGACACAGGAAGCCTGCGCCCTTGCTGGGAGCAGATGGATCCCTCCTGGCAAGGACCACATCCCTTTTAGAACCTCACTTGCCAGACGAAGAACAGCTGCCCTGAGGGAACCAGCTCAGGCTTGGCTTCCTGGCTGGAACTCTTATTCCCAAGACAGATATTAACTTGAAGGTGGGAGGTAGTCTGAGAATGTGAAGTCCTCAAAGGGAATAATGAGAGGAAGAAGGAGCCATGGAGCACCCTGGTGTCTGGTCTGCATGTGTAAGTAAGTGTGCATGTGTAAGTAAGTGTGCATGTGTAAGTAAGTGTGTATGTGTATGTGTGCATGTGTAAGTGTGCATGTGTAAGTAAGTGTGCATGTGTAAGTGTGCATGTGTAAGTAAGTGTGCATGTGTACGTGTGCGTGTGTAAGTGTGTGTGTATGTGTGCATGTGTAAGTGTGCATGTGTAAGTAAGTGTGCATGTGTACGTGTGCATGTATAAATGTGCATGTGTACATGTGCATGTGTAAGTGTACACATGGGTGTGTATGAGTGTTCAAGATGTGGGTATGGGCAAAGGCAAAGCCTCAGGATCCCACATGAAGGTGTGAGCACAAACCTGTGCATGAGGACACTCTGCAGGAATAGGTGCTACTGGGTGAGTGCATTTTTTTTTCTTATTCACAGGTCCGGAGTGCAATGTCCATCCTCCCATTCTCCAAATCCTCTACCATGCTTGTTTAGAGGGCAGAGAGGAGAACTTCTTCCTACTTGCCTCACTCAGCTGAAGAACCGCGAGCTGCCGCTACTCCTCTGGAGCCGAGCCTGAGGCTCTTCAAGACACCCGAACAGGTCCCGCTGAATGCTGACACAGCCCCGATCCTGCCTCCTGTTGTTTCCTGAATCCCGACGCCCTGACTGGTGGCTCAGCTCTGCTTTTGCTCATTCCTTATCTGAGGCAGCCATTCCCACCCCACAGAACCCTCAACCCTCAGAGCATCCAGACGTCCTCGAATCCCTGTTCCCGTGCACCCCAGCCCCTCACCTGCTCCTTCTGCAGCACGTTCTCCAATGTTACCGCCTCGGCAGCCACAGGAGGTCTGGATTTGGCGACTCAGTGGGAAGCTGACAGCCTAGGGGAGGGACTAGAGGAGGCAGTCCTGTCCTGTCCAGTTCCTTGCCAGGCACTTTGTAGGAAACAGCTCAATTTTCAGGAACTACTCTGAATTCACATAACAGAGCCATGAGTGTCCCAGTGATTCCGTCATTAGCATGTTTTAATTAGAAGCCCCGCATTAGCTGCATCCCAGGAACACTGGAGGAAGGTCCGGGATTTTACTAGGAAAACCCTGGCTGGAGCTGGTGTTTGGGCCAAGGCCAGAGGTACTTTAGGACAGCCCTGGGGTGTGTGGCAGGAACAAAATGCAGGGTTAAGACAGAGCGGGCAGCAGCAGAATTTCAGGGCTGATGTCCTTGGCCAGCCACACAGTAAAGCCCCAGGACCTAGGAGTCCGCTCTGCTGATGCCCACCAGCGTCCTACATTTGTAGACAAACCCTAGCCAGTCTCCTGGGCCCCACCTGGAAAAGGTCCCAGATACAAGGAGATTGCAGGTATTTGACACCTGCTCCTTGCAAAGAGGTTTCGCAGCCTGCTGTGCGGACTGCCTCTGAGAAGCCTCACAGACAGATGCAGAGACGGCTGTCCACTACTGGAGGGAAGGGCTGCTGTGGATCCAGCCTTGAGCCAGCTCCGCGCTCGGCTCCAGCCTCCTTGTGGCTTAGCAGTACTGCGAGGTCAGCCCAGTGTCTGGCCTCATGGACAGTGGGAGGAGGAGTCAGCGGCTGTGCATGTAACCAGGGCAGGGACCCTGGGGAAGATATTCTCGAGGGGCAGGAGATAGATGGGGTGACCCTGAAGAGGGTTTGTTTACATCCCAAGTGACTTGCGAGCTGCGAGGAGACCAGCATTTAGAAAATCTGTGTCCACATGAATACAGAGGACACTAGGGCAAAGACCCGAGGCCCCACAGTGATTCTGTAGGATGTCTGTGGCCTTGTGGAGACCCAGGGGGAGAACTCTGAGATGTGATCTCTAGGGGTGAAGATCCCTAAAGAGGCTATGCAGCAAGCCAGTCCCTTTCCCACACTGGACCTTAACTTGGCACACTGCACAGGGACAAACAGAGATCTCTGGATGTTAAGAAGAGGCCTTGCAGTCTCCAGACATATGGTGATCAAGCCCCAAAGAAGGTGATGAGATGTGGCGCCTCCGCCCAGTGACTTGGAGGAGAAAAGGAAGCAGATTCAAACTCTGGGAGCCTGCAGCTGTGGGGATGGGCAGGAGGGTCAGACTGACTGGTTTTGGGCCCAGCTGTTCCACAGGCATTCAGGAAGTGAGAAGGGACACACTGGCCTGAAAGAGTGGCCAGCAGCCCAGAGTATGGAGCCTTGTCCTTTGTGCTCTTTCAAAGCAGTAAGTTACTTCACGTCGGCAGATAAAACCAAGAGCCTGCAGCCTTGAGGAAGACAGTTCCATGCAAGCGTGGAACTCAGATGCTTACATGGAGTTCTGAGACCAGGCAGGACCCTCACAGGTTCCCCCAGAAACCCCCAGTGCCAGCACAGACTGGAGAAATCCAGACACCAGGACATCATGGGCTCCATAACCTTGCCCCTGTCCCTGAGACTACAGCCCAGGTTACCACTGCCTACTCCCTCCCTCCTCTGACTTCATCTCCCAGGCAAGGCCGCCACAGTCTTCGAACATCAGAGGGGGCCTCTGGCTGATGGGGGGCTAAGGGGAAGCTGAGGGTACCCAGTGTCTTTCCCACAGAGATGCTCTGCACAGTTAAGCAAACGTTCATTTCCTCTGTGGAAGTGCAACCAGTGGGTGCATTTCGAAAGTGAGAAGGGAAAAGGGCAAGGAAACAAGCAGACCAGAATGGTCCCAGCGGTCTAGAGAACGTCCCCACTTTACTTTCCCTTTCATGGCTCCTTCTTCTTTTCCTTTCTTTTCCGTTTTTCTCATTACAGAGCCCCGGTTGGCCTGGATGTCATTAAGCATATCAGGCTGACCTCAGACTCACAAAGATCAGGCTACCTCTTCCTCCTGAACGCTGGCTGGGATTGCAGGTGTTCTACCACATCCTGGAAAGCCAGCTCCCGGGACTGCACCAGGGTTGCAGCAAGATCGCCTTCAGAGCAGCAGAGACTTGGAGAAATCTTCTTCTCCATCTGACGACTAGACTTTTTCTATCCGAGGGTAAATAAGGGATTACGCGCTTTTTGAGGGAGACTTAAGAAAAAAAGGAACAAGCATACGTTTTCCTGATGGTAATCTTCTCTTTTACTTTGTCTTGAATAATCTCTCTTTCTTGACAGTTTCTCTACACAGCTACATACCTTCACATGCGGTTACATATCACTGTACATACATACATCTCTCTTCTACACAGTCACACATCTCTACACATAGTTATATCTATTTTCACATAGTTACACTCTCCACACATCTCCGTACATTCTCCACACATCCACACACCTTCACACTTCTTTACACAGTCAAATCTTTCTCCATGCAGCTACATTCTCCACACAGCCATAAGCTTCTTCCTTCACATGTATCTCTCCTACGTACACACTTTTCTTCTACATCTCTCTACTCACTCAACTACATCTCTTCACCATTCTCTCTGCACATTCAGCTACACATCCCTTTCAACACATGCACACATCACACATGCATGCGCACACACACAAGCACACACACATGCATGTGCACACACAGGCACACACACATACACACAGATGCATACACACACAGTTGCACACACATACACAAACATGTGCACACACACTGGCACACATACAGGCACACACACGCACACACATGGACACACATGTGTACATGCACACACATGCACGCACACATGCACACACAGATGTGCACACACATGCATACACACACATGCACACATGCACACACATGCGTACATGCACACACATGCACATGCAGACACACGCACACACACATACATGCACACACAGATACACACATGCACACTCACACACATGCACACACCCATGCACACATGCACACACACACACAATGCACACACATGCATATGCCTCTCACATTTCTCTCCTACCTCTTTCTCTACAACAAAGCCTCTAGACAAATACGAATCACAGTCTCAGGGTCGCACATCATTTCTTGAGTAAACAAGGAGAAACAGCCATGCTGGCCACACAGATTCTCTCGGGCTGGGGATGACACGCTGACTGGGCACGGTGAGTGAAGTAAGCACGCATCTCTGAGTGGCCAGGGTACCCAGACAGAAAGAGACACTGAAATTCAGGACTTAAATAATAAACAGATAGTTGGCTGAACCTTGAAGTTGGGAGTACGTGCCGGAAGTCCATTGCTGAGAAAGTTATGTCTACTAAAGCTGCTTCACGCCAGACCTTGAAACAAACAATAAACACCTGGGAAATTTTCCTTGTCTATTCGTCTCTAGGGCCAACCAGGTTGCTTTGAATTTGTTCTGAAGTCTAAAATTAGCTGTCTTAGTGGCTGAGAATACTTTCCTATGTCAGCCTGAGTAGTGAACAATATCCTAGTATTATTTCTATTCTTCAGAATTATACAGATTAAGCAGAAATCATTGCCATTCACAGCGACATGTGTGCCCACTAGATGGAATATTTTCACGAGACGAACACGCAAGCAGTGGGGAAGATACCCGTAGCTGTTGTTTTTAGAGCGGATCATGGCAGCACACGAGAGACAAACACACTCTGAGTCAGTGACCCCGTGGTCTTTCCCAGGCGGGGGCTCCCGTCAGAGAATTATCCACCTAACACACATCAGCTGTCATCTGCTCTATGACCTAATGGCCTTCAGTGGTGTTCACCACCGTGCCCGGCTCCCACTCCTGTGTCGACATCCACTAGTGATGGAGGCTTAGTTTTCTGGAGTTTTCGTGTGTACAAGCAAGCTCTCAGGCCTGACGTCCTAGTGGCTGCCTTGGACTGGAGTGGGCCCTCTGTGATGGAAAGAAGTGTGTTGCAGTCTGGGGGGGGGTCCCACAAGCAACCTCCAATCAAATGCACCAGGATCCGTTGGCTGTCTTGTTTTGAGACAGAGTCTTGTGTCACCCAGGCTCGTCTGGAACTCACATAGATGAGGGTGACTTTGAACTTCTACTTCTCCTGCTTCACTTCCCCAATGCTGGGGCTGTAGGTATGTAACACTACACCCAGAAGTGCTGGGATTATTCTTTACTTATTGGAGATCAGGTCTTGCCATATAGCCTTGGCTAGCCTAGAGCTCACTATGTAGACCAGGCTGGCTTTGAAATCACAGAGATCTGCCTGCTTCTGTCTCCCGGATTCTAAGAATGCTGGGATTATTATGCCACAGAATAGACTTTCAGGACTAGTCAATATGACACAAAGTTAGAATTTATTAAAAAAAGAATTTGGGGCCTGTGCAATGGCTTAGTTGGTAAGCACTTCCTGTGTAAGAGCATCTCCAGCCCTCACATTAAAAGCTGGTACAGCCGCACAGACTTGTAACGCCAGCTCTGGGTAAGGAGAGACAGGAGGATCTCCGGGGGCTTGCTGGCTAGCCAGCCTAACCTATAAGTGTAAGGTTTAATGAGGGACCCAGTGGCAAAACATTAACAAGGTGGAGGGGATGGAGTGATGGCTTGGTGGGTAAGAGCACTTGCTGCGGAAGCATGCAGACCTGAGTTTTAATCCCCAGCACCCTGTAAAAAGCCAGATGTGGCTGTGTACGCTTGTAACCCCGGTGTTGTGAGGAGTGGAAACAGGGAGGCCAGTGGAACTTTCTGTCTAGTCAGGAAGCCTAGCCAAAAAGCCAGCAAGCTTCACGTTCTGAGAGAGATCCCTCCTCAAGAGAACAAGGCAAAGAATGATAGGGCTGGAAGATGTCCAGTGTTGACCTGTGGCCTCCACAAGCACACTTGTATCTGTGTATCTGCACATTTGCACATTCACACGAGAGAGAGAGAGAGAGAGAGAGAGAGAGAGAGAGAGAGAGAAGAGAGGAGAGAGGAGAGAGAGAGAGAGAGAGAGAGAGAGAGAGAGGACAGAGTTTTAATACAGATTTGACTATGGGAGGGAGAACAGAGGATTTTCTCTTAGTTTTTTTGATGTTTATTTCTTTTGTTGTTGGGGGCACATTGCTACGGCACGTGTGTAGAGGGCAACTTGAAGAAACCTCTTCTCCAATACCATGAAGGTTCTGGAGATAGAACCCAGTCCAGCCGAGGCAGCTTGAGAGGGTTTTGAGGGCCACGTGCATCGCGGAGCAGC